TTCCGTGGCGAAGAATACATAAGCAATCGGGAAAATCTCTTTCAAGGCATTAAAACAATCACGAATATCTTTACAGATACAAATTTAGATAAATTTAGAGGCTGTCTGCAGACGCCGGCTCCCATGTTCACCAAAAATTGTTGCTCGTACGCTCAACGAAGACGGTGCATAAACAAAAAAACAGTAATTTCGGAAATGAAAAAACACGCCACTAAAATAACGTAGACTAATTAACTAATATTCCTACACTCTTACTCTAGTGGCACTGTCACTCCGACCCAGTATGCCCCCCACAACATTGGAGACGGTATCTGTTATCTGGCGGCCTTGAGGTTGCGCATGCTTGACATAGAACAGGCGGACGTTCGTTCCATTCCATAGGCCTAAAGGTGACATGCATTTGACATATATTTCTCCCCATATCAGAGATGAAAGCCAAACAAGGGACGAGTCTGTCCATATGAAGGGTCTTGGGGTGACGATTTGTCGCTGAGGTAATACCGCTTTCAGGTCTACCACTTTTAAGAAATCCATAACGGCCGGGCTGGCGGTTGTTCTGCTCATTGACGATTGTATCTGCTGAACTTTTGGTAGAAGCTCAGAGATAGCGAGCAAGATGGGATCAAGGGGGAGCCTAGATAATATGGTAAGCGAGGGTTCTCCTAGGTTAAGGAAACATACCCTTGCTGCCAGGAGGTCACCCATTCCTGAGTAGGTATGAAGCCATTTCTTCCAATCTGAGCAGCAGCAGCTAGCTCAGCAGTGACATCTAAGCTTTCATTTCTCTGTCTCATCTTCCCTCTAGCTTTCTCTGAGATATGTGATACGTCATCACTAGTACCAGCAGCGCCCTCTCCCTCCCAACTGCTTGAACTAGTGGGAGGAGGTGACGAGATCCTCATACTCCCTAATGATGCGTCAATTCCGTTTCTGTCTATGTCTCCTCCCATAGAGTGAGGCTCAATCCCCTCGGCGGCGAGAAGGCGAGCTTTTTCCTCATGTGCTTGCTGACCAGTTGTATCTTCTCCCCGAGTGGGGGATTTACCTTTAGCATGAGTAGGAGAGGTTAAACTTTTGTTTCTTTCTTCTTCCTCTCGACGTTTGATATCCCGTAGGCCGCGGGCTAAATTGAAGGTCCCAAGGTCCTCGAAAAGGACATGGGAACGGAGCATTGCGTAGAGGAGATGGGGATTCTGAGACGGATGGCGAAGAATTATGGAATTGAAAGCGTCGAGCCTATCGTTGATGTCAGTTTTGGAATCAGCACGGGTCTAAGCAAAAAAAAAATGGCTGACATAAAGTAGACCAATCTAGGATTTCCTTCGTCTGCTAGCAATAATCTTGGATCAGAAAATGCTGTAAACAATTCCATGAGTTTATTGCTCGAAGAGATACTGATGTTCTTGAGGTAAGGCGCTGCATTTGCAAGGGAGATAATGAATGCCGGGTAGGAAGTTGAGAAGTTGTTCAATGGGTTTTGGGCAGTCTCCCCTGTAGAGGTAGCAGAACCAGCAGATATGATGGCATGGATCGACTGTGTCCAGAATTCAGCACCCGATGTAATGCATTTATGACGAGAAATTCAACGTACCGAGATCAGGAAATCCGCTGATGTTCCTACCACGTTCCATTTGGTGGGTAAGGCTATCCGAATGGGGACGGTTGAGAGTTGTGGACCAAATCCAGGTTCTGCAGATAGGAACTGAAGCATATAGCTTAGGCATCGACAGGCACCATTCGATTCTGATGAATAGCATGAGCGAGAAAACGAGACTAGAGAGTGTAGAATTACTAGGTTTATCTTTCAGCTCTAGGCCGTATGCAAGAATACAGGCCATGACGTCCATCGCTCGATCACCCTCCATTACATGTGTCCGGAATTTCTGCAATTGAAAACATTACCATCAATCTTTCGCCCAGCTCTCGGGCTTACCTTATTGACCTCCAGCAGCTTCCATAATATGAGAAGCACTTCCTGAGCGCATCCTGGAGATTTTGGGCCTGCTGCTTTCACCCCAACCCCTTGCAAAGCACCTAGTCCTATTCCAAGTAACGAACCTCCTTTACGAATTTCTTCTCCTGAGAGTCGGTCAACACAGAGTAAAATGTGGGATACACGAAGAAAGTTACCTAATACTCCAAGAATGCCATCCAGAAGGTATGTCATATCAGCGGGTCGATGGATCTTAGCTAAGAAGTATCGGAAGTGATGGGTTTTAGGAGATGGCGCTCCTGGACGAGTTGGAGCGCTGGGCGTCGTTGGAACATTCTGGCCATAGGGAAGGTCCAGATTAGGATGGGCTGCTCCTGCAATGGGAGCAGGGGAATAAGGTTCAGCGGTATTAGAAGACGCTGACTGTATGTCCCTGGCATTCCCACTCTGATAATCGAGTACGACCACCAAAACCTGGGCAGCAGTGCATACCAGCATCTCTCGGGAATCCTCTCCCTTCCAAACCTGTGTATATGGAAGTTGATTGAGCCCTTTACTGATCCCTTTCCCGACTCCTGCGATACCAGCACCAATACCACCGGTTGGTGTACCAGGTGGAGGAGCAGACGAAAAGTTGGCAATGACATTGATAAGGGAGCACAAAACTGTCAGGACGGATTTTCTTGAGACCTTTTGTACGAGATAGTGCGTATATTTTGAGGGATTTTGAAGTATTGAAGAAGGAGAGGAGTATATCTGCTTGGATAAGAGGATCAAAAGGAGCCGCAAGACTTCAACCCGATTATTGTCGATATAAGATTGTTCACGAGACGTAGAAGAGGGTGTGAAAGTGGACCCTACGCCTTTTTCCCTATATAATGGCTGATATTAAATGGCGTTTACCAGAGCAAGGATGATCGAACTCACCAAATGATATATTGT